GTTTTTGAGATTAACGTTTTAGACTTACTTTGTCAATATGTAAACTATCTGGCAAGCGTAGAATGTGAAAACATTAAAAATAACATAAAATTGTACAAAACACTACACTAAAACGAGGACAAACAGTTTAAAATTACTTAAAAATTCTACGCTACATTCTCTGTCAGTATCTGGAGGGATAATGATCTAAGCGGAAATGATACGGTGACATGTGACATATGACAACTTTGATAGACAGTCAAAGTTATGGATCTGTGATCAGCAAATATTAAAATTCTGTATAAGTTGTCATTGGCCAAAGGTCCAACATGAAGTGATGAAGTATGACATATAGAATATTTTGATTTAAACTAGATTGCATAATCCAGATCTCACACTCACACCCCTCTGTAATCATAAGGTTGTAGGTTTGAGGCTAAATGAAGTGTACATAAAGTTTTGTCTCTTTTGTCTGTCCTCTGATCATTCTCCATATTGCTTTTTGTGTTCCGTAAAAGTCTTGTTCCGTCTCTTTTAAGAAGCTCTGCCAGTGTTCCCTTCTTATTTGCCTGACTAAAGTATTCGTTTTATTTCTGATTCGTTTATAGCGGTTGTATGCTTGTTGGGTTTGTTGTAGATTGTCGTAGGTCAAGTCAGAGGGAAGATGATAATATTGGAAGATTTTAACGCCCGAATAAGCAATCAAGTAATACCCGGAATTAAGAAAAATATAACGAGTATGTCAAAAATGAAAATCGAGAACTTTTGATAAATTTTTTCACGAATAACGAACCTAGAATACACAACAAATTTTGTGACCAAAAGACCAACATAAATATACATCCAATAACATACATGGGCAAAGGTTTATGATAGATTATGTTATAACCCACAGAGATATACACCCATCAAAAATAATCGACGTAGGATGCCTCAACTCAGCAGATGTAGGTATCGACAAACATTAGCGATAAGTCACAAACACGAGAAACTCGTAGAAAACAATAAAATCGAGAAAGGCTGAAAAAACTCAAAAATAACATAATTAACGCATCAACACAATCACTTGTAGCGAGGAAAGTAACAAAAACTAACATAAAAAGCCCAAGTATATAAAAAAAGGAAAAGGAAAATATTGTACAAAAAAATATTGAAAATTTATCTAAAGAAAACAGTAAAAATAAATACTTTGAAAATAAAAATTTATTTGGAAAACAAACCAAGCGGATAAAACTAGCGATAAAATAAGGGGCATCAGACAAGAAAGAAGATTTGAGTCGATTGGTGAAGTTTGAGAAAGTAAAGATAAGAATAATGAATATACAAATTTGGATCAAAACTATAATATAAATTAAAAAAATTTTATTAAAAAAAATCCTTTACAAAAGATATATTAATATAAAAACCCTATCGGGCATCACAGCACATAACGTTTATAATGTAATAACATAATTACGTTATCGTAATAACTATTCCATCATCAGCGCTATTCTAAAATAAGTATAACCACGTTAATTAAGGCAAAAGTGTAAGGTAAAATTTTGACCAAGGTTATTACTAAAATGTAGTTTAATACTGGATTTACAGGTTAAAGCCACTAAATACATGAGTATCCTTTAAATGTAGTTAACATAATTTTAAATTACATTTTTATGTTAAAAAACTAGAATTTTTAAGTTATAAACGGAATTAGGACGTACTAAACTGCATGTTAGGCAGTTAGAAAGAAAAACAAGGAACGCACGTGACAGAACTACGTCAGAATGCTTACATGCATGAAAGGAGTGACAAAAAGTATAAGGTCAAGAATAAATGGAATAGGAAAAGTCTAAGGGTGGCAACACTTGATGCTAAAACGAGAGAGCAGCAGAAGAGAAAGACCAAAGAAGACTTGGATATGATTAGCCAGGTCATGTCTGTTCAATGGTCTGATACAGGTAAGACCCAAGATATAAACTTATATGAAGAAATGTGAATAATAAGGGAAGCCTACCCTGCATAGAGATAAACGCAAAAAGTGAATAATAATAATTGATAGGAGCGGAAAAAGTTGGAGTTCAAACTCCTACAATAGTGTATTAATTCCCATGGAGGATGATATTATTATATAAACTAATATAGGCTTAACAATCTAAGGTGGTCATTCAAGAATTTAGTTGTTTGAATATCCACATAAAAGACGAATAGCTTCGAATTCCTTTTGACTTTATAAATAATATATTATTGAAGCATTAATGTTTAAACTTTTCTATCTAAAATATTCCTGTACTTCATTTTGTTTCTGTTTTTGTTGTTGTTATTATTTCTGATTTCTTTTAAGTATAATTAAATTGATATTATTATATTAATTTATTTGGTCTTATTACGCTATATTGTACACTGTACAGCTTTCTTCAAAGGATAGTTTAGATTTAGATATTATATAATACCGCAATACTTGCACATATGCCACTGTTTGCATAAAATATTAGTGACTCATTGGACTGAAAATATTTCTATCTGAACACCTGTTATGTAATGCTGATAGTATTGTTTGTTTTGTAATCTTTTTATTGAAATTATGTGTATAGCATTGAGGATTAGAATATTTATTTTGTATTGAATTGACTCATATTTGGAAACGCGTGTTTGTTATCAATATTTTCTATCTATAACTAATACTGAGAAAAATACCAAGAGGAAATAAGAGTTACGAATCAATAAAATATAAAAACGTGTAATATTATCATATAACAAAACTAGTATTTTTCATTTAGAACAGAAAATGAGCACATAGGACTTGTCCAGTGATTTTTCGCCTAGACACAGAGTTTATGGAGCGTAAATGGCGATACATAACAGACCATCAAATTAATAATAATATTGATGCGGCTAGTGTCATTATAAAACTATATCTTTATGTCCCATACTAAAAAATAGGAATGAAGTATTGAAAAAATATTTTAGGCTCTTAAGAATAATACTGCTATGAGAATTAATGTTGAAACTAACAAATTGGCACAATCATTGATATAAATACCTTATGCTCCGGAAATCTAAGATGTTTTGTCCCTAAGATTAACATATATGACCGAAAGTACGTTTGTATTTACAGAGTGAATCATTTTACATTCCGATTGTAGATAAATAAGCAATATAAAGTTGCCGTTACCCAACAGTAATACATCAATCATACCATGAAATAATATCCTTATATCCAAATTCTGAACAAATCTACACTGATGCATCAAAAACTCAATCAGGACTAGCAGCGGTTTACGTACATGGAGCTGACCATTTTAAAATACGACTCACTCTGAGTTGTAGCATATTTACTGGAGAAGCACTGGCTATTTTAGAGGCACTGAAAGTTTGCAGAAGAAAATCCGCACCTCATTATATTATAATATCTGACTCATTAAGTACAGTAAAAGCTTTACAACAATTGTATCCATCAAATGAAATTATAATGCTAATAAAAATTGAACTCATACTACTATCAACAAAAAACAAAAATAACTTTTTTATGGGTGCCATAACACGTGGACATCAAGGGAAACGAAGCAGTGGACCAACTTGCGAATGAAGCTGCACTAGATGAAAGCATCCCTGTGTCACACAGGATGACAAGAAACGACCATAAAACCTCCATTAAAAAACATATTACCAACTTATGGCAGTGTTACTGGAATTCCACATTCAACAAATTAATAGTATATTACTTTATTAGGCGGAGAAGCATGACTTTTCTTGACGCGCCCGATATTACGCGCCGAACGAAGTGAGGCGCGTAATAAAGGGCAAGGGCAAGTATATATAGTAAATAATGCAATTGGCGAATTAAAAAATAAAGGAGCCAGTAGGACAAGAAATATTTTAGCTAGATGATGAAATCCGGATCTGAAAAGTTGACGACGATTCCTTCATAGATCTAACAAAAGCATGACAGAGTACCAATAGCAAAACTAGTAGTGAAAGAAAAGAGAGATTATATGCAAAAATGCCTATAAGCAATACTTCATTAAAAGTTGTAACGTTCTAAGCGTCAAGTGCTTGATATTTTTCTTCAAATAATTATTTTACTCAAATTTCTGTTGATTTTATTCATGTGTTAACCTTCTGTTTTGTTTAACTATTTTCCTTCTAAAAATATTCTACGCCATAGACATATATAAAAGTCTATGACTTTTATGCCTTACTCAAAAGTTGATACAAAATATTTGTCAATTGGTAACTCTTGACTTTAATCATGTCACTTTCGCTTTAATAGAGTGGAATGTTTTTTATAATATCTTTTGTCTACGTGAGCTAAAGTTTTAGTCTATAAATTTATTTATATTAGTTAAATCTCTTCTGGGGTGAGTACATATTTATATTTGTTTTTGATAATTTCGTTGTATTTAATATTTCACCAATATCCAGTGTCTGTTTAGAAGAAACAGTATACCTAACAACAAGTAGGAAAACCATAAAAATCAGGAAGTTGGAATAATTGGGATAAACTATTAAGGATTATAAGGATTATATTCCTTGTGCACGGCAAAATCAAAGGTGAAAGAAGCGCAAAAAGACGTGAAATTTCGTGGCTACGCTTCTCCTTGAATGGTTGAAATGCAGTCCAATTGATCTATTCAGACGCGTAACAAACAAAATTCTAATTGTCTCAATAATTTCCAATCCACGATAGAAGTGGAGCTTGAAGAAGAGAAGTGAGACTTGAAACAGGTAAATGTTCATACATCTCTCGAAAAGTAACATAGGACAAAAAGAAAAGGCGATGCTTTGTGAAAAAAGTCAGGGGTTATTTGAACGTCGATAGTAAGTAATAAAATTAAGATGGGAGAAGCCATGTTCTCTGATTCAAATACCGATTATTTATATGGCATTTGCATAATTAACCATAGCACTGTATCGAAACGAGTGGAAGAGACAAGGGAAGACATTGTATCAAAAATAGGAATGTTTTATAGATTCTGACAATTTAACTTGGGTCCCTACGGCTAAAATTAATTTAAAGAAAATAAAAGAAGTAAAATACTTACCGAATAATGTTGTATAAAATTTAGCTGACACTATACACAAATACAGTCCATATAAACATCCTAAATGTAAATAAAGTTGAACTATTGTATCCGGCCATCGGATCTGCGGCACAAATTCTTCTTCTTCTTCTTCTGTTTCTGTCGTTTTCGGCTCATTATTGTTGGTGGTCTCCTTCGGGAGTCTACGGTATGGTTTGGTCCCTAAACTTAAGTCACTTGTTATTGGTGTTTCATCACTTACGACACTCTCATGGGTTCCCTCTGTCATTACTGAAACAAATAGAATATAACAATTAATTTTTGAGAACTTAAATGTACATACATATTGTTTTTTCTTTCTGTATGGTAGTCTTTCAACAATGAACATGACTTGAATAAATATATATATATATATATATATATATATATATATATATATATATATATATAATACTGAATTGTTTGTGTATTATGTAAGTTCATTTGTTAAATAGGCAAAAAAAAGAAAAAAAAAACTTTGACAATACTAATTTTTAGTAAGTCTTTCCTTATCCTTTCTTTTCTTACGTACATATAAAAATGTTTCGACTCAGTTTTGACATCAATAAAGTAAAACTTAATAGAGCAGGAATTATCGTAATTATAACAGGAAATTATCTTGAATTGCATATCGACCAAACACTTATTTGGAGACTAAGTTTAGTCAAATGTACTGATTCCTCGACATATGATCTAAATTTTGACTAAACAACAAACTACTCCCGGACAAAACAATATTGAAACCAACTTGGGTGAACGGTATTCACCCCTGAGGATACGCCAAATTATTACAAATAAAAACCATACAGTAATTACGAATTAGTTAATATAGTAAGACAGTACAAAAAAGAAACTTACAGTATATAACAGTGTAGTACCTAAATAGTATTCACTACCTAAGATCCACAAATCCCAATTATCTACAAACTAACAACAAATATACTAATAAAAGAATACGACCTTAATAATAAATATTACATTAAATACTCTTGAAGTTAAAAACCTAGTGGAAGGTATTATTCTTCCCCAATTATATACTTGGCAGTCTGGATGTAGTAGCCTTATTTAGTAATGTTTATTTAGAAGCTTTCTTAAGATCTATTCAAAAAAGATGAAATAACATACAAAAGTACATTGCAAAATAGACCTAGAAATTTTTTTACAATTAGTAACCTTTTATTTGACAATATCTATTTTTCCTTTGAATAGAATATACAAATCTACCTTTGGAACACATATGAGTGTAAAAGTTTCACCAATTTTTTCGTCTTATGTCATGGATGATATCCTCGACATAGTGATCCCAGTTCTTCCCTATGATTTAATTTTTGTCAAAAAATATGTTGATGACGTTATCCTGGTACTTCCCAAAGATAAAATTGACGATATATTATTTGTATTTAATAGCTATGACACACAAATACAATTTAAAATTGTAACACATGACAATGAACAATATGTTCCTATCCTCGATACGAAATTAATAAGAACAAACAATAACAACATCATACCATAAACACTCAATGAAAGTAAACTTAAACAAATAAAGACCAGAGTGATAAATATATCGGATGGTGTTTTATTATAAAAAAAAAACCCAAAATTATTTCAATGTTCATCGGAATGCATATCCTAAAGAATTAGTCAACAAATTCCTTTTTGACATACCCGCTTCCCTACCACAAATTATAAATGAAATTAACAATATAAAAAAGCAAGAGAGAAAGAGGAGTGTCTAAATAATCGCAAACAATGAACAAACAGATTACTTAATTGTAACTTTACCATATATGAGAGATCTCACCCTAGACTGGCAAGAGTACTAAATTCATCTCATAATTTTAATTTAGCCAACAAAACAGTGTATAAAATTAAACATGTACATACAGGCCGACAGGGATGCCGTGAAATGGGCGGAGCTTGCACTGCGCAGAGTGAGAAAGTTTAAAATCAAAAAAGGATGCACATACCCGAACATTGTACTAAGCATGTACTAAGCTAAAAGATACTATACCTAAGGAGCAAGGGTCACATGTAGTCTATAGTATCCCTTGTAAAGACTGCAATAAAGGATACATTGGCGAAACAGAAAGGTACCTGAACAATCGTATCACATCACACAAGAGTGACAGTAGACTACGTCATGACCGTTCCTCATTAGCACTACAATTACAAAAAAAAATGTTCCTATATATGGCTTTCATAACATAAACAGAAAACAATATAAATAAAAAACAGATATAAATCATCTCAGTGAAATTTATTCTATTCTTCTAACAGTTGACAAACAACACATAAAATTTAAGAATTCTTTAGACTCTCTCTTAGACTAAATTAAAAGTTATTCACCAATAGTAGACTTTTAGGAAAACAAAAAAAAACAATAAAATTAAATTTATTGATGTTTCATAATATAAACATAAAAAATTTTCAATAATCAAAATTGAGTCTGTCACCTCATGTTCAAAGTTTGTGTGGCGATAAATTATTTCCTTCTTTTTTATAAAAATTTTAAATTGCCACTTTTTTGTTAAAACAACATTAATAATGCTTAAATAAAGGACTTATTATGTGAGCTTAAAACACTAAGCCAATACCATAGTTACAAAAACCCCTTCTTCTTGACCTATACAAAGAAAACGAGAAGTTTTTAGTTTTTGAAGGTTATATCCTTCAAACGCCAATGAACAGAACATGTGACTATTGATAGCCATTAAATAAAATGTTAATTCAACACAGAGGAAAATAGACCATGCTTTTACAATAGCAATTATATATGTTTGTTTTTGTACCATTTTTCAATGTTTCATATGTTTGTATTTTTTTAATAATACTCAGCTATCTGTAAGTATAAATCATGTTAAAAGGCTGTGATTTCTCATGTAACTGAATTGTAGCATTCCCTTATGATGTTGGTGACCACCAACGAAATATTGGAATTCAAGAATAAAGAGTACACATATCATTATATTGTTAAGTTGTTTTCCCAAAAAAAGTCTTTATCTTCTAACTTATTCAATCGGCTGTGATTAACATACATTGATGTATATATATTTAGATGTTTCTCTGTTTCCGACAACGATACGGAAACGAGGAAGACTTGCAACAACATGCATCAACAAGGTCATCGCCAAAGCGATATCTTAAAGAAATCTCAAGGAATAAGACTACCAAAATAGAAAGTAATGGCGGATATATATATATATATATATATATATATATATATATATATATAATATATATATATATATATATATATATATATATATATATATATATATACAGTATTTACGTTTATGGCATCACAGTAGATAGTACCTATAAACGCTGCTACGTCGGTGTTACAAATTCAAGAGTTAAAATATTGGTTTATCAAATATATTTATCTTTGTTTTAAATATAAACTTACCGGCCGGAATGTTAACAAATATAACTGTCGCACAGCGTTTTAGGGCGAATTAAACTTGTCGAAGATATACTAAGATCTGGTTATCTGTCTGTGGAAATATATATCTCTTAGATAATACTATTTACATCGTTTAGTAATAGTGTCGATTATAGTTGGTAAAGATTAGATTAGAAATTCGAAATTATGTCGAAGATAAGGATACCGGCACACATTTCTAGGAGGCACACCGCGTTGGAGAAAACCCAGATATATATATGCTGGTATGTAACCACTGACACGGACTACATTTTATTTATAGTATTTATTCTTCAAACAGAGGACTTAACTACTTTCTATTATCATCCGAGTCCCAACCTCTCTATAGTAATAAACCACAATTTTACTGAAAAGACTTTATAGTTGAAGTTTTGATTTCAGAATTCAAATTATCGTAGGCTATGAAATTTAAGTTATAAATAATTCCCGAACACTACTGAATAGGGCCTACAAGGTTTTTTCCTTGATATTGACACTCTTACACCGGTTAGTTAAACTTTTGTGTTAATTAGAATATTAAAAAAAAGAGGTTAGATCTTTGTAAATGGGTATATTTAAAAAACCCTTAAAAGGGCTACATCAATTACACGAACGTTTTCGGAATAATAATTCCCCATGTAATGGGGAAAATAATGAATTCTGATATCAAAATTACAAAAAATCCTAATAAACCATTGTTTCCCTTTCTTGGTCAACAACTTGGTGTGAGTAACACACTCACACATCAAATTTCAGGTTTTTTATCAACCGAATTTAACACAACCAAAATAGATTTTGTTCAGGGTGCTAGATGCTTTCAGCATGAAGGACCTCTATTATTTCTAATTGTTGATAACTTTAGTTAATTGTTGATAACAGCCTTTTTAATTTTAAATTTAATTCCATAAATAACTTTAATTCTTCAGCCGGAAGATTTCTAACCCACTTTTTTTCAATTAATTAGACTTACTTATATTAACTTTTCCACTATACGAGTAGTCTTAAACAATTTCATTTAAATACGAGGTCTTACATTAGCTACAAATATATACTATTCAATTTTACCTTGTCCTAGATGAGATCAACATAAAAGGACAATTTCTTACATCTAAGCTAATCTATCACAAATTAGACTGTTTAGACCACACTCCACACGACAAAAAGTAACATAGGTTGCCTAATGCACACGTCATTCTCTAAACATGACCTTTAACATCATAGATAATTTCACATCTTCTATATCCAAAATTAAATATAAAAAAAAAAATTAATCTCAACACCTGGATTGCTGTTATTTTTAACATCATCAAAGTTTTTGAATCTTTTGGCTGTAGTAATACTATGCATAATTATTATTGTTTCATGGTACACTGACATTTTGTTTTCGACACCGTTCATAGGTATCTTGTCAATCAGTTACCAGCTGAAGCCCGTTTGAAGAGGTTTACTCTCCGGCCACTGGAACTCACCTAAGACATGGGTGTATCTTACCTAAAGTCAAATTTAATTTAATATTAAACATCAAATGTGATTAACAACATTATGTACAATCTTTTGTAACCATATGTAATTTAAAGGGTTTTTACCCTGATATTTTGGTGGCTCAGGCATGTTAATTTTTAAGTATAACCATTTTTGCTCTTTTTTTAACCTTAGTCAAAATTTTAAACCACGTTTGCTTTAACTAAATGCTTTATACTTATTTTAGGCATTTTAAACCTGATGATGGAATTATTATTCCGAAAACGTTCGTGTAATAATTGATGTACCCCTTTTAAGGGTTTTCTAAATATACCCATTTAAAAAGATATAACCTCTTTTTTGTG